ATTTTTTATTAAATAGCAAAGGATTAGGGAGTTAGTTAGATTTTATTACTAAGTTAGAAAAGTTATAGGTTATAGGTAGTATTAGGTAAGAAAGAGTTAAGCTATCTTTAGACTTTTAGGTAAACTTTAAAGCTAGTAAGTTCTTAGTTTCTACTACTATAATAAAAGTTAAGGTAGAAATAAACTACTTAATAATATAAAGCTATTCTTTAAAGTTCTTTTAAAAAGCTTTAAAGCTTATAACATAGTAGCTTTTTTATAAAGTAAGCGCTTTTTAAAAAGCTTTTTAGCTTACTTTAATAGCTTAAAGTTATATAAGTACTAAGCTTATTAAATTAAATTTAGAGGCTATTCTTAGCTAGAGTTTTAACATAACATAATATTATAATTATACATAAGTAAGGTTATAGAGCTTTATAAAGGTCTAGTTTAATTACTACATAAGGTATTATAGTAGGTATAAGATGTTATGTAAGAAATAAAAAGGTTTAAAAGAAAATTAGTAATTAAATACTTAGCTTAGAAGTCTAAGCGCTTTAGGTATAAATTAAGCCTATTTTAAGTTTAGTTAGTGTTAAAGTAGTTTATGCTTAAGTTTATGTCTGTGTTATGTTGTGTTTGTGTTAGACGTGCACTAATAATACTCTAGTACGCGTCTAATACGGTTATGTCTGGGATCCGGGGAGGATACTGTGACAGATACCAACAGGAGTTTCGTCTATGACTTCTCTCGCTAGACTCCGTTGACTATTCTGCCGCTGTAAGTCTTGACGCAAGAAGAAATGGAGCAGATGTAAGCCTTAGGTACCGCATTCTCCGGGTCGTAGGTAGTATATGGAAAATCCAAGCATTTATAGATGCCTAGCAGGTCGTGTGATGAAGTGCTTGTCTAAATTGTTACAAGAACGGGACGATCAACGTAGGGATATGCGTCTACTAAAGTTAAAGTAAGAGATTAACGTACTTTATAGGCGAGTTGCTCACACACCTAAGTTGCTTACTTTTGCTAAGACTCTACTATACTACTTTTTTTATACTAATGCATTTCTAACAACACTACTTAGACATGTTAAAGGAATGTTAGATGTAGCTTATGCTTTAAGCTTTTAAATAAAACATAACACTTTTTAAGTAACATGCTACAGCTATTTATAAAGTTTTTTAAAAAATAATAAGTAACTAACGCACTAGATAACTTTTCTAAGCTAATTATATAGCTAACTTATAAAAGCTAGATAATAATAAGAAGTAAGTAATTATTTAGCACATACTTAAGCTAGATGTATAAGGATTTCCCCTCTAGCTAGCAGCTATAGCTAATATAGCTAATTCTTTACATGCTAAGTATAATATAGGCTATATTAGCATAAACTAGCTTAATATATTTATTAAGTGTTACTTAAAGCTTAAAGTAAAGTTTAAGTATAAGTATAACTATAAAAAAGCTTTTTATAAAAATCTTATAGTAATTTAAAGCTAGTTTAACTTTATAAAGAATATTAAAGCTAAGTATAGTATTTAAAATAATAACATATACAACTTTAATAAAATAAAGTTTATAATAAGCTAGATATCTACTAGAGTAGTTATTATAATTTTAGAAAAATAAAAATAGCTAAAAGTAGTCTAGCTAGGTAACTAGAAGTAGACAACAGCTATTTAAGGCATTAATGCTAAAAAGTAAGCTATTCTACTTTTTATTATCTTTTAAAGTAGTAACTACTTTTTAAACTAGTATAAAAAGAAAAATCTACTTTAAAATTAAGTTATTATAATCTTTAAGCGCAGCTAGACTACTAATTAGCTTAGTTTAGACTAGTTAAAGCACTTTAACATGCATATAAAAAAGTGTACTATTAGCAGCTACTATTTACTAGTTATTAATAGCTATAATAGCTATAACTTACTTTATTTTTAGTAATACTATAAAAATAATAAAATTATTACTATTTATATACTTTTTTACTTATTACACTTTTTATAGCTACTTAATATAAGTTGTTTTACTTTTTTAAAAAAGGCATATAAGTGCTAAGCTAAAAACTTTATATATAACTAAATTACTTATATCATAAAAATAAAGTTTCTACTTGTTACAATCCTTGCTCCGTGGAGCACTCAGGTCTGGCGATATTCCTAGGGGGGAAGTAGGACGGATGGTAGGGGCCAACCAGTAGGGTGTACAGTCCTACGTACAGGCTATTGGGCTAATGGAGGGAGGTAGGGAGACCAGATCGTGGTTTGCCCTTAATGCGGCAGTAGGGAGGCCGGGTCAAACAGTCCTAGTGGACAGGGTTAGAGGTATATATAGTGCAAGATATATAAATAGTATTACAGCTCTTTAGAAAGTTAAATGCTACTTAGTCTATGTAAAGAATAAACTAAACGTTAAACACGCCTCCTAAAGGTTGTTTAATGCAGGAATTATATACATGTGCTAGGGATGCTAAGGGGAGCTAGTGGGAGCTAGTGGGAGCTTGCTAAGGAGAGCTCCCATGAGCTCCCCTAGGCTCCCATTAATACGCGGCCCGTCTCCTCATTAGACGATGCATTCCTCCATTACTGCGGGCAGCTGCGCTGCCTCCGTGTCCTCCGATTGTTCTGTAAGCGAGCCCTGTCCCAATCCAGCTAGATTGTGGAGCACTGCCGGTGGAGTTACGCTGGTCCAACCGTAGACCGTAACACTACTATGCTTTAAAGTAGCTTATAATGCTATAATTACTTTTAGTAATATTTAAAAAAGGTTTTAAAGCGCTAGATTAGTTTCTTTTAACCTATAATAAGTTATAATAGGCCTTAATATAAAGTTATGCACTTTATTACTACTACTACTTATATATAATAAGCTTTAGTAGTTGTAAACTCTAAGTAATACTCTAAAACTTAAGTTATAATTAATGTTTATAAAAATAAAAATTTAAAAGCATATAAATAGTTTACTAACTTTTATAGTTAATATATTTAAAAAAGTTTTAAAAAAAGCAGCAATAATTACACATAAGCTAGTGTTAGTGTAATAAGAAATTACTAAGCTTTAAGTAGCTAATAAGGCTGCTATGCAACATAAATTACATAAAAAAAAGGTAAATTAAGGTAAAAAAGACTTTAATAATTTAAGAAAGCTTACACTTAATAGCTTTAAAAGAGTTTAAAGCGCGTAGTAACAGGAAGAAGGCAAAGAAGCAGGTGTAAGCTAAAGTAGGTAAGCTATTCTAAAGGCGCTGCAGATAGTGCAATTAGACTAGGCATAACACGCAAACATGTAAGTAAGAAGTAGAAGTAGTATCTAAATAATATTCTAGGCTGTACTGTACTATATAGTGCTAGAGCGGGTTGTTATAGGCCATAATAGAGTTTATTAGGGTGGGGTCTTGGCAAAAGTAAGCGACTTGGGTGTGTGAGCAACTCGCCCATGAAGTACGTTATACATAATCTAAAAAATAAGCCAAGTAGTAAAAACTACAGGTCACGTAAGCGGTTGAACAAAGTCGATGTTGTCGCAAGTATAGGTTGAGTTTGCACTATACAGACTCACCACCGACGACAATGCCCTACGAAAAGGGTGGCATATGCCGCCGAAAATGGCGGCAGATTGTATATGGCTTTTTAATACAAACGTAATATTTCTATACTTATACACTAACGCGAGCTAGGCAGGCTAGTGCGAGGCACGAGCATGAGACAACCCTAATAAAGTTTGTCCCGGAAGACCTGGCATGTAACACCAGCTTCACCGGTCTAGACCGCTCGAGTATACAGGCGACCCTGGACTAGATCGTTAATAATGGTCTAGGCTTTTCTGTCTTCCTTAAGTCTACTAAAGCGACAAGACGGCCAACGCAGGGCCTTAACCTATAACCGGGTCTGGCTAGCATAAGCTACGGCCGTGCCATTTCTAAGTTTGGCCTGCCCGATCCGCCTGAAGCTGGTCCACTAGGCGAGCCGAGCTCAAGTAAGCAGCTCCTAGTGCCCTAAACGGAGGAAACAATTGCTACTTGGCTTAGCGCATGCCACCTTGGTTTACAGAAGGTAGTTACTAAGAGCGACCTACGGCTTATAAGGGGTGACTCGCCTCTAACTGCGCCTAGATATAAGGAGGATATTCTATGGTTAATATTTAGTGCAGGCAAGTTCATGACTTTTGCAGGCGTAATTGTCCGCCACTATGCGAAGTTAGTGGCGCAAAGAGAAGCAGGAGCAGAAAGGCGAGACACAAGAAGAGACTAGCGCGCAATTCGGGCTTAGATTAAGTGCCAAGACCTCGACTGATAATGATGCAATATTTCGATGGTTGGTGGACAAAGATGGAATAACGATTAAAAGTTGGGTGGTTGGTTGACTGAGATGGAATATTGACATGATAACCTAGTGGTTGTTAGTAGATTCTACTAAGGAAAATTGATGTATGGAGAGGGCCTTCGGCTGAGTGTGAATGGAATATGGAATGTAGGTAGAATGGAAGGACTGTACAGGTAAGAGATGGACGGGCTTTACTATGAGATGAACTTGCCTTCAGCGCGCGAACCATTATTCCCTCCTTTTTGCAGGCCTCGGGTGTACCGGAGGGGTAATATCGGCATCGGCGAGACCGGTCAGGTGGGTTTATAGAAGAGAACTCGGGCGGAATTGCGATCGGGGATTGGCATCGGTATCTTCGGTGAAGTGGAAAGGGAGAGTGAACTTACGCGATTGGTGAAGACACATTGGAGTGATGCGTCTCTTGCTTAGCTACAACAGGAGGTTGCATTGCCCGGGTGGCCCCACGAGGAGGTGCAAGAGTCCGACTTCGCCAACCCATAGCAAAGAACTGGGCGAACCATATTCTATGCCGGGTACAAGAGCCCTAAGCAGCAGAAACAAGTCCGCGCTTTCATGAGCAAGAAGGCCGGGCACATGAGCCCTAAGCAGCAGAAGCATGTCCGCGCTCTCAATCAACCCGAAGGCCGGGCACAAGAGCCCTAAGCAGCAGGAGCAAGTCCGCGCTCTAAAATCTCTATCACCTAAGTAAATCGTGAGAGAGACTGATCTCTCCAGAAACCAGCCTCGAATTTCACCAGGTCTTCCAACCCGAGAAGCTCAGCTGATTCCATGACGAGGTCTTCGAACAAGGCCAAAGGCCCGCCAGTCAACAGGCTGTGTAAGCCAGTAGGGGGGTCGATAGACCCGCCGGTGGAGTCCTCAATCATGGAGACGAACCTGCTGAGTTCAAGATCCTGATCGAGGCAAATTGCTAGCATGGAGAGGGTCAGACCAATCCAGTGTAGCGATGCGTCTGCCGTCATGCTTTGAGGAAAGCGACGCATCTCAACGGTACCCGTTCCGCGGAGGTTCTCAAAGTTCCAGGTAAGTGACCTCTTGGGAGACAGGAACTGGATGAGCTGATCGCGCTCCTTGTCTTTATCCTCTTGGCAGGGAATGGCCTCCAGTTCCTGGACTGCTTCCTGACGTCCGGCAATACTCAGCCACTTACCATTGCCGTTCATAGCTGCCCATTGGGTAATCATGTCGGTGTCTGGTACACCGGCAGAGAGAGCGCTCGCAAGACGTATAATGCCTTTGCCGATGAGCCTGACCTCCTGGAGTGTCCAGTGCCTCTTGACTGGCGCCACATGGATGTGTGTGGAGCCTTCCGCCATTTCGACGATATCGAAAGACTGTTCAAGGACATAATACACGTCCCGGATTTGTTTCTCGAACACGGACCGATCGTCAAATATCGGCGAAACAATCTCGATGCCATCTAGAATAATACCATTAGCAGATGGTTCATGTCTCTCTTGAAGGGGTTGAGATGGGAGGTGGCGTGGATGGTGATGATTATCGAGAAGGTGATGACAGGCTTGGAATATCTTGGAGCGCTTGGATCGAGGAGCGTGCCCGGTGAAGATGGTAGAGGCTGTGGTGTCGATGTGTAGTACTAAATTTTACAGTCAACTCTCAATAGCGCGATACAATTCTGGAACAAGGATTATATTGTTATATTGCAATATTATTGCAGTAAGAGAGTTACGTAATCTAACTATCTAAAGTGCCCTAGACAAACTACTTAGACTTTTAAGCCTTTACTTTAGTATATAGCTGCTAGAGCGCTCTAATCTGCTAGGGAGTTGTTAAATCTGTATGCTCTTAATATAAAAGTAGTAATTTAAGAGCCTGCTCTGCCTACGTAGGGGTAGGTATTTATATAAAAGGCCCTTTATTATCTAATTTGTCTTTAACTAGCTGCTAGCTATATATTACAATTACATTTACTACATTAAAGTTAGATTAAGTAGGCTTATAATTCTTATTAATAAAATTTAAAAAGTTTTTAAGGCTTATAGTGTCTTAAATTCTGCCTATGTGCTGCACCTGCTAGTAGAGCTTCTCTAGCTCCTGCTAAGACTGCTCTTTTAGATTAAGCAGGTAAATTAGTTTTTGTAAAGGCTAAATTCTAGCTTAGCAGAAGTAGTAATAAATTATATTACTTTAAAAGTTGTTATACTAGGCTTAAAAGGCCTAGTGTAAGGCATAGTAGAGGTTAACTTAAGTTACTAGATCTGCGCTACACTTATAGCTAGCAACTATATAGCATATCTATTACTTTTTATATAAGCGCTTAAACTAACTAATTACGCCTTAATTAAGTAGCTAGTAGACGCTAGTTAAGTTAGTAGGCAGCTATTAAATGCAGATATTTAGTAGAGGTAGTTTAAAATTAACACTAAAGATATAAGCGCTGTAGTTATTTATTAGCAGTAGGATAGACCTAGTCTCTTCTATCTACTAATAAAAGGCTTATAGCTAATTTATTATAATAGTATGTGTTATCTACGCCTTAAAATTTAATAACTATTAAATGCTAAAAGCCTTAAAGTTAATAGATTATAAAGCATGTAGTCTAGCTGCTTTTTTAATAGCTTAAAAAGTAAAGCGCTTACTACTAGTAAAGTTATAGTAGTATATAATTAATATTTAGTTCTTATTCTTCTTCCTGCTAAGTTAAGCTCTAGTAAAAAGCCCTAACAACAGTGCCTGCTGCTAATATAGGCCTGTCTTGTCTATATTAAATATATCCTGCTCTGCGTATTCTCTACACAGTGTTCTAATAGCCCTTATCTTCTCTTTAGCCTTAGCTAGCACTAATGTAGCCTTACTTTAGTGTTAATAAAGCTTAATATTATGCTGTTACTTAAAGTTAGTAAGCTAGCCTAAGCTAAACTCTAGTATAAAGAGGTTAGCGTAATTAGGTATCTACAGCTAAATAGCCTTTGCTTTCTTAATAAGGATATTACTAGGGACGTTGCTGCTAGAGCTTTTAAGGTACTGCTGCTAGTTAAAGAGGACAGCTTTAAGGATAGGCTACTATGCCTGTTGTTAACGTGTGCAGGTAGTAGCAGAGCTACTGTTAAGGTAGCTATATTACTCTAAAAGGGACTCTAATACTGTTAACTAATAGATGCAATAGTTATACTCTTACTTAAACTACTTAATTACATTAAGCTGCCTTTAGCTAGGACCCTAACATTAATACTATTAACATAGAGCCTGTTGCTGCTTATTAGTAATTGCTACACATAGCATTTTATCTTTTAATATAACAATAATCTAGCTAAAAGCTTGCGATATAGTAGGTATTATAAAATAGAATATTTTAGTAGGAAATTAATTTAGGTTTAAGAAATGTATCGCTATATTAAAATATCGTTTAATCGCGCATCGCGCCATCGAGAGTTGACTGTATCAGCCGACGCACGGTCTCGCCTGACGCACGGAATTTGCCGTACAGCGGCACCGCGACTTGAAGCTCTAGGGCAACATATAAATAGAATATAGGCCTAGTTTTTTAGTAGATTAGGAAGCTAATTACAGCAATTAATTTAAGGCTACTAGCTAGTCGCAGAAGCGTGCAGGAAGCTTAATAGCTCTGCCTCTGCGATTTTGCTTACATAGCAGCCCTACTACTTTAACAATTAATTAATCCTTAACTACTTGCTTTAGCCTACTAGCTATAGGCTGTGTAGTCTTTCTAGCCTTCCTAGAAGTTTTAATGTTGCTTTAAAGTTAGTAATTAGCCTTTTTAGCTAGTTGCTTTTCTTCTTTCTAAAGCCTTTTTTTTTAGCCTTTTATAGTTAAGCGTTCTTAGTAGCTGCCCTTATATGCTTTTTTTTTTTTAGCTATATAAGCTTTCTTATGCTTCTTAGCCTTTTTACGCCTAGTCTTTTTATTTTTTTGTTAATGTAAGAGCTCTACAGTAGCTTTCTTCTTAACTTATTAATTATGTGCTTGTTAAACCTTCTTAGGACTATAGAATACAGCCCCACTGTAGTACTGCTTAGGAGCTATAAGTAGAAAAGGTTTACTATGCTTCTACTTCTTTTTTTTATTAACTAGAGCTTTTATAAGGCCTTAATTCTCTATCTAGAGAGTTATAACCTATATTAAGAGACTATGTATAGTATTACTAAGCTGCTTAGCCTACTAGTTAGAGATATTACTAACTACCTTATGTAAAAGCTTGTCTATGTGTCTCTAATCTTAAGCAGTAAGAGCTAACTAAGAGCTCTTACTAAAAAAAAGTCTACTAGTACTAGTAGTACTAAATTAAGTAAGGACTCTCTTAGGGTTAAATAGCGCTAGGCTATAGGCCTTAAAGCTAGAGAGTATATTCTTCTTAGTAAATAAGGTCTGCTAGGCTTTGTTAAATAGGCAAAAGAAGTCTTACTTTGTAATAGCTGTAAACCTTATTAATTTATACATAAAACTAGCTAGTTTGTCTAAATAAGCTGTTGCTAGTAGCTTAAACAGGCTAACATTAAGAGGCTATAGCGTATAGGTTAAATAAGGTGGATAGATAGCTAGTAAAATCCTATTCTAGTTGTAGTAGTTAATAAACTTTATAGAGACATAAGATTTATAGCTATCTAAGATTAATAGCTTATACGCCTAATAAGCTTTCTTCTTTGTCTGTTTATTAAATAGCTGTTTAAGCTAGCGTAAGCCTAAATTGTTATTTGTCTAGCTACTAGAAAATAAGGTAAAGAAGCACTTATGTACTGCTAGGTTAAAATCCTGTAACTAGCTATCTTAGATGTTACTAGTGCTAGCTTAGTAGATAAGGCCTAGAGAGAGCGTAGAGCTGTTAGCGCAGATACAAGCTATAACGTACTTCATGGGCGAGTTGCTCACACACCTAAGTTGCTTACTTTTGCCAAGACCCTACTAAACCACCCTTTCTACACTAATGCATTCCCCACAACACTACTTAGACGCGCTAAAAGAATGTTAGATACAGCTTACACTCTAAGCTTTTAAATAAAACATAAAACTCTTAAAAAAATGTGCTATAGCTATGTGCAAGGTCTTATAAAAAACAATAAATAACTATAGCGCTAGACAACCTTTACAAGCTAATTCTACAGCTAAATTATAAAGGCTAGGCAATAAAAAGGAGCAGGTAATTATTAAGACTATACTTAAGCTATATGCACAAGGAATTTCCCCTTAGATAGCATTTATAGCTAATATAGCTAATTCTTTGCGCGCT